ATATTTTCTCAGATATGCAAGACTGGTTAAAAATCCACACACATTCCTCCAGGATTTGTGCTTGCATATTTTGGAAAAAAAGTGGAATCAGACTTTTGCCTGGTTATCTGAATATTCCGACACAGTTCTGGTTATGTCACCAACTCAGACCCAGCAGAATGAGTTTCCTCTTAAAACACGGAGCAATTTTCTGCATCCTTATTACAGCAGGAGAAGAATGATCCTTCAGAGCCAGGGTGGCATGAAAGCATCACCTCTCACACACCTCTAAACATCAAAGGGAAATGCCTGTGGTCCTCCCTCTGCTGATTTGCTTCATGCTGTGAGGTCTGGTGGCTGCTTCTCTCCTCACCACCCTCATCTGGAGTCTCTCCTGGCTGTTCTGCATTTGTCAGCAGTGACAAAATGATGCCAGGGCAGACTAAGCTGCTTCTGACCCAGAGATTCATCTGGAAGCTACATCTGACTACCATCAACTTATGAACCAAGACACCTGTGTACCTCCTACAGCTACAGCCCCAAATCTATAGCAGGAAATCTTAGTCCAGTGAATTTATGTTTATAATCTAATTTATGTGCAACAATAGTGCAAGAAGAGCCTTCTAGTATGGTTTGGAGTGCTACAACTACAATGGTGTATCCCTACTTTTAGTCTGGTCCTACAGTTCCCTCATCCATGTCTTCCATTCATAGCTATTAAACAGGAATCATAAAAACATATTTACTAGAAATTTACCATCATCTATCTTGTAGAATTTCACAGAAATATCCTTTTTTTACCTACAAATATATATGTAAGCTATATATTTGATGCCATTATACAAATATTATATATATGTAAGCTATGTTTGATGCCATTCTTGACATCTAAATTTCCTTTGTTTACATGCTTCTTCACATAACAGCTTGCTACTGCACATTCCTGGAGCATGAGAGGCCTGAACTTCCATCTAACAGCTCTTATATATTTTAACAGGAATAGTTTTGAGATATTTTGACAATATCTTGTCATACATATGTTTCTTTCCAGTTGTTCCTTGAGTCGTGGTTAACTTCACAATGTAAATTTACATTAATTACTATCCTACTATCTGATTTTTCTCCATCCTTATAAAATCCCAGGGAGAAATAAGTCTACTATGCCTTCATAATGTTTTCTGATCTGGACAAAAATATATGCAAACAGGGATTTTTAGTAGCATCTGATATTTTCAGGTTTTGTAATCATTACGCTTTCTGTCAGCAGAGTTGGAAAATTGGGTATTCAGAATAATAGATTTATTCTTAAATGCAGAAATAGAGCAAATCCAATGACATGGTAATTTAAGTAATTCTGTGAAACTAATTCATCTCCTTCATGATTTAATTAAAATAACAGTTTCCAGACTGCAGATCCACCCTTCTCACTACTCCTTGGCATATCTGTAACAAGGCACAGTGCGTGATCCAGGTTCTTCCATTTCAGCTAAAACCAAATTATTAGGAGAGGAAAAAAAAAAAAGGTGATAAATAACCCCTGTAACACTGGATAGAAAAAGGATGTCAGCATTATGATTGATGTGGCTGTGGGTATCTTGGAAATCTGGTTCCTCATTTAAAAGCTTTCTATCCAGACTACCCTTATTATTATTTTTTTTTTTCCGCTATTGTCATTTTTCAGAATAGACTTGAGATGAGCCCCTGTCTGCTCAGAATGAATGGAGAAATATTCAGGTCCAAAAATAGAATGTATGTGGTATTTTTATCCTGTTTTCTGAGTAAATCCATACTCTGCTACAAGAAATCATTCTCCAAGTAAAAATACCATCAGTTTTTACTGCTGTTCATCCTAACCTCAGTGGTGAATGGCCACAGTTTTGCAAACTTTCCTGAGAAAATATAAAGGGCTGCTGTTCTCTGGAGCATCAGCTTCCTTAGGTTAGCCTGCTGAAGCACAAGAAATGAACAGATGTGCTTTTCATACAGGTTGTGTGGAAGAACTGGCTGAGGATAGGCTGTATTTTAGTCTGCCAAGTGTCTCATTAAATACTGCCAGTCTTATTCAAAAGAAGAGTACTTGAGCCAGATTCTTTGACAGGGGAGTCTTACAGAGCCTAGTTAGTAAAATATGAATAAAATATGAACTCCCTGAAGTGACACAACTGCTGGGAGACAAAACTTATTTGTGGAGGCAAGAATTCACTACTTTGGTACCTCAGGATCCCTGGCACTGTAAACAGCTGAGAAGAGGGGGAAATGCAAGTTCTGAATCATGTTTCAGCACATCTGAAATGCCGTGGTGACCACGGCCTTTTCAGCTGATTATCCCAAGTTCCCACTGCTGCAACATTTTGCTTGTTTTGAAAGGAGGGCCCCACTCTCACAGGGATGATCTTACACTTGGATGTGTTGCCTTGAGAGGTGAATAGAAATAACAGGGAAGCAAGCCTAGGAAAGAGCAAAAGGAGAAGGTTAAAAGGGAAGTAAAATAATTCATGGTCTGGAAGTGCAGTCGGTACTAGCTCAGTCTTATTCACTGCAGAGACTACAGCAGGGAGGTGAGGATTGGACTGAGGCCAGACCCTGCCAGTGTGAATTGCAGCATAAATTAATATTGGGCATAGAAACATAAATGAAGCTTTGTAAACCTCATGTTCTCTTTGCATGGAAATGTATTAAATGGTTGTGCATTTTTTCATAGCTAAGCAGTGATGCATATTTCTCACCTACATCACTGTAAAACAGGACAAATCTGTGTGGCAGCATACCTTAGAGATCCTTTACAATGACACAACATTTCTGTCAAAGATAGTGACGTGTAGGTATTCTCTCTTTGTTCTACCAATAATATTGTCCCTTATCAATGTGAAGGAGCAGAGGAAATGTAATAGCTCTTAAATAAAAATTGTTATTTGAACACTATGAATATACAAAGCTGAATGAAATGAGCCACAGTACTTATCTGCAAATACTTAAAGCTTGTTTTTTGCTTTTAAAACAGTTAAAAATTGGATCAAGTTAGACCTCTGAGCTAGATTGAATCGCATGTGGTTACGTGATCCCTATAACATTAGAATGGATTTAAAAAGGCACAAAAAAGCTGTTCTGCTTCTCCCATTGTCAGTTATGTGTGTATCACATGTGCATGGAATCATAGACCACAATTTGTTTACCTTTGCTCAAGAACATGCTTTACAGAAAGAATAACAGTGCTCAAAAAGGAATGCCAAAGTCATTGGTCTGTTTCTACTTGTCTTTTTCCCTCAGATGTCCCCTGAATTTTTCATTTTAACAGCCACTAGATAATGACAAGACAATGCATCTGAGATTTTGAAAGAGAAGTAAAAGCTAAATAAGTTGTTATCTTTTGTCCCAAATCCTTGAAACATCTCAAAAAAGAAATAAAAGCGTGTTCAAATCCTACTGATAAAAAGCAACATAAGATTTGTTAGAGAATGAAGGGACTGAGCTCTGGAAAATGCCTCTAGAATTAAACTTTACTGATGAAGGAGTGAGTCTAGGTGCTCCTAATGATTCAGTAATTTTAGCTGTGACAACTCTGGTATTTTTATGGCTTCATACATGTCCTTGTGCTGAAGTGATGGCAGGGGTTTGATCCATGACTTTGGTATGCTCCTGTGCCAGGTTACAGAAGAATCTGGGTTTTGGTATTGGAAATGAATTTATAGATGTTTTTTAGCTGCCTCCAAGAGCACCCAAATTTTGGACTGCTTTTGTGCTGACAGAAGACATCGCATTTTAATGGTGTTTGGGATGACATTAGTGATTTAATCTATATCTTCCACTTTATATTGACTATAGAACCAGAAGTATTGTGAATGTTGAGAAAACGGTTAGCTCCGGGTGCTATTTATATGTTTCACTGTACTGTTGGCAAGGCTTGGTGCCTGACATTCAGTATGTTTATCTGGCTGATTCCCCATGCTCCCCTACATAGCAATAGGTCAGGCACTGACCTGAATGGGATGAAGGGTATGGGCAGTAACTGGTGTAGGCAGCAGAGACACAGAAGTACATGGATAATGTGGGTAGTGCTGCTGGGGATCTAAAGACAAAGAGTCACCAGGCTCCCTTGGCTTCTCTGTGGAGGAGGACCTAGGCAATGGAAGAAATGCCCAACCCACTTGCTGCACATGTTGGATTTGTCTCCAGCTGCAAACACCTTGAGGCAAAGCGTCTGGTGTGAGCGCTGCCTTGGATTTCTTCTCAATTCAGGCTTTTCTTTCTCCACGAGGGGAAGGAGGAGTGCCCACAGTTTGTACTGAGAGGGTAGAGTTGTAGGTGTAGTGTCAAATATGGCCAAGCTGCATTTTCACAGCCATCCCTTACCGAGAGTGGAATGTGCCACACTGCAATTCTCTAGGTGCAAAAGGAGCAGGCAGTCTATACCCTGCCCGTGCTGCAGCGGGGAGAGGGAATTTCTTGCAGCTGTTTGAGGTGTTAGCTCTGCCAAACACACCACAGTACCCTCTAGCCATGAACTAGGACCGGCATTCTGCTCAAAATTAGGAGTGAAAGTTGATTTGGCTTCGTCTGCGAGATGGCTGCAGGAGCAGAGGGAATGTTGGCTCGTCCTGCCGGGGGGCTCGGGGCCGGGCGAGGCAGCGGCGAGGAGGTGCGCCCACCTCTCCTCTCTTCCTGGGAAATTTGATTCGGGCTTGGCTTTGGAATTTGTTGGAATCTGTTGGAACGCGGATCCGAGCGACCCTCAACCCAGCGTTTCGCTTCCTTCAGGGCACGCCCAGGGGAGCAGAGGCCGGTGCTGCGGGCGGACAGCTTCGCCGGCGCGGGCACCCCGACTGCGAGCATTACGGCCTTAACAGGACGCGGGGGTCGAGGCGGGGGCAGCAGCCGAGCCGTGCCGTGCCGTGCCCATCCGAGCCGTGCCGTGCCGGCGGCAGCGGCGGGCGGCGGCTCCGGAGCAACAGGGCCGGCTCGGAGCGCCGGGGGCGCGGTGCCGCGGGCTGGCCCGGCTCCCATCGATCATCTCCCGGCTATCTCCCGGCACCCTCGGCCGCCAGCACGCCCGCGGTCTGCGCTCCGCGCCCCGGCCGGCGGCTCCTCGGCCGCGTCCCCCCAAGCGGGACCACCCAACAAGTGGATGGAGCGGGCGGCAGCCGGCCGAGCCCCGGACGTGCCGCGGGCAGGCGCCGCTCGCAGCCAGCCCCGTGGTGCCGCCGCCGGAGCCGCGCTCCGCGCACGGATTAGCCGGCGCTGATTTACAGAGCTGCCGCCAGAGCCGGACTCGCGGAGCCTGGCGATCGCGCCTGCCCCTGCGTTCCGCCTCGCACACGACCAGCACACGCACACCGCCTTCGTTTGCCCCGTGGGGACGAGACCCTGGCTCGCTGCCCTGTGGCCAATGCCGAGGCGAGCGGGAGCGGCTGTGGCGGTGCCCGGTGCCCCCAGCCCCGGCCGCCTCCCCGGCTCGCTCGCCCGGCTCCCGGCTGGAAGGGGCAGAAATAACTCGCCAACCTGTGGTGCGCACTGACCACAGCCACCTGCGAGTGCGGATCAGCCGGCACAGCCCCTCCGCGCTGCTGTCACCCGGTCCTTACACCAGCGGGAACAGCGCTGCTATTTCTCTGCCTAGGATCAGTAAGTATAACGGCGTTTTTAGGATCTTCTTCTGCATGACACGTAGGTACGATTTCAAAAATAACGTCATTTAATAGTGTTCACCTTGTCTCATGTATTAATAGATATGGCTATAGATGAGGCTTGTGTTTCAAAGGGGGGTGTGAGGGGTTGTGTATTTTTTTGTGTGTGTGCTTGCATGTAGATGTTGCTTCAGTGCACCTGCAGTTGTTTTCTTGACATATCACGGTATTTTCACTTGGCTGAGCATCGTACGTGCCCGTTTCCAAATTAAATCCAGCGAGACGTTCACTGTGATCGAAACACAATTCTGCTGTAGATTAAAATGTAGCATTCCCGCATCTGATGTGTTTCTGCAAATACAACAAAAGCTCTTTGTCTAGATACATTTATTCTTTAACGTTTGGTGTGGATATATGTGGATGTATCTCTTACGTATGTGCTCAAAGACCTGAATGCATCGTGTGTTGCAGTATTTTTATTAGTGTTGGTGTTTCAGAAGCATGCATATGTTTGTGTATGGATGCAAGTGCTTATATGGGTGGGGATTTTGTATCTGTCTCTATATATATGTGACATACCCACCCACATCCTTACCCACAGAGTCGTTCAAAATCTCTGTGCATGTGATGTGGGTGTGTGTGTAATGTAGAAGTGTGAATAATGTGGGCAGGAGAAGATTTGAATGCCATGGTAATAGATGACACAGTTTCATTTGATCGGTGTGACCTTTTAGGAAAACAATCCAATCTTTTCCCTTTTTGTTTTGTTTATTTTTGTGTGTTTGTGCATGTGCCTCAGGTTAAGTGCTTCTTCTGCATGACCATAACCAAAGGGTGACCCATCCACTCCCTTGTGTCCTATGGGGACCTCAGAGCCAGTTTCTCAGTCTTCATCTCCTCCTCCTCCTCCTCCACCACCTCCTCCTCCTCTTACCACTGCTGCTGATGCCCTGGGTGCTGCTCCCAGGTTTGAGACATTGTTGACAGGCTGAAGAAAGGATTTGCAAAGACCTCCTCACTGTGTAAATGGAGTGATGGCTGGAATTAACTTCAACTCTCCAAGTAATGACATTAAACAGTAAGTTTGCTAGGCCAAAGCATTACCAGGCACAAATAATGAGTAAAGAGACTATTTGCATTTGGTTTCAATGATGAGCTAAAACCATCTGCAGAGAGCAGGTACCCTTTGGTTTGCGTTTTTTGTTTTTGTTTTTTTTTTTCCCTGAGGAATGCAGCCTTTATAGCCTGTGAGGCAGTCATGATTCTGATCAGATACAGCTGTGATGGCTGCAGGAGATAAATGAAAATAAAGGGGCTTGGTGGATGGAAGAACAAGGTCTCAGCTGTTCTCTGGTCCAATCTGAGAATTTCATCTTTCCTCATTAGCAAAACAGCAGTTTGTGTCAAACATTCCGGAGAACAGGAAAATGCGGCTCTGTGGTTTTCCAAAGCACAGATCCAGTGCTACAGCCACGTTGCCACGCTCGACGCGCAGGGGACTGTCCTCCAAACGCAAATGGCTTTGAACTTCTCGGCGCTGTAAATAACACAGAACCTCATCACGGTGGGCGCTTACAAACAAAAACAAGCAGTTGCAGGATGGAGGTCGCCATGGTGAGCGCGGACAGCTCCGGCTGCAACACCCACATGCCCTACGGATACGCGGCCCAGGCGCGGGCCCGGGAGCGCGAGCGGCTGGCCCAGTCCAGGGCGGCGGCGGCCGCGGCCGTGGCGGCGGCCACGGCGGCGGTGGAAGGTGGGGCAGCGGGCGGAGGGGGACCCTACCACCACTACCACCAGGAGCAGGCCCGCGGGGCCTCCTCCTCGCGCGGCGGCCTGCCCCGCCGCCAGAGCGGTAAGAGGAGGAAGAAGGGCAAGAAGAGGAGCCATCACCTGGGGAGCAGGGAGTGTGGGGCCTCCTTCCCCTGCTCCGAGCTGCTGCCGCTCAGTGGTTCTGAGGAGAGAATCCTGAAGGACTTGAGCGAGGAGGAGGAGGAGGATGAAGATGAGGATGAAGACGACGAGGAGGAAGGGAAGCTCTACTACAGCGATGACTATGGGGAGGATGAGTTTTCGTACTCGGACCAGCCACCCGATGACGGGGGAGGCCCCGGGGGTTACGGCTCCGTGCGCTACAGCGAGTACGAGTGCTGTGAGCGCGTGGTGATCAACGTGTCGGGGCTGCGCTTCGAGACCCAGCTGAAGACCTTAGCTCAGTTCCCGGAGACGCTGCTGGGGGACCCGGCCAAGCGGGGGAGATACTTTGATCCTCTCAGGAACGAGTACTTCTTCGACAGGAACCGGCCCAGCTTTGATGCCATCCTCTACTACTACCAGAGCGGTGGCCGGCTGAAGAGGCCGGTCAATGTACCCTTTGACATCTTCTCTGAGGAGGTGAAGTTCTACCAGCTTGGGGAGGAGGCCATGCTCAAGTTCAGGGAGGATGAAGGCTTTGTCAAAGAGGAAGAGGAAAAGGTTTTGCCGGAGAATGAGTTTAAGAGGCAGGTTTGGCTGCTGTTTGAGTACCCGGAAAGCTCCAGTCCAGCCAGAGGCATTGCCATTGTATCTGTCTTGGTCATCTTGATCTCCATCGTCATCTTTTGTCTGGAGACTTTACCAGAGTTCAGAGATGACAAGGAATTCGTCATGTCCCTGAGCTTAGGGAAGGGGCTTTCCAACGAGTCTCTCCGCCTGGACGCTGGGGAGCACACCATCTTCAATGACCCTTTTTTCATTGTAGAGACCGTGTGCATCATCTGGTTCTCCTTTGAGTTTACAGTGCGCTGCTTTGCGTGTCCCAGCAAAGCACACTTCTTCAAGAACGTCATGAACATCATAGACATCGTGTCCATCTTGCCTTACTTCATCACCCTGGGCACGGACCTGGCGCAGGAACAGGGCAGCCAGCAGGCCATGTCCTTTGCCATCCTGAGGATCATCCGTCTGGTCAGGGTGTTTCGCATCTTCAAGCTCTCCAGGCACTCCAAGGGTTTGCAGATCCTGGGTCACACGCTCAGGGCCAGCATGAGGGAACTTGGCCTCCTCATCTTCTTCCTTTTTATCGGAGTCATTTTGTTTTCCAGTGCTGTTTACTTTGCAGAAGCTGACGAGCCTGCCACCCATTTTCAAAGCATCCCAGATGCCTTTTGGTGGGCCGTAGTGACCATGACTACAGTTGGTTATGGGGACATGAAACCCATAACCGTGGGTGGGAAGATAGTTGGGTCCCTGTGTGCCATTGCAGGAGTGTTAACCATTGCTTTACCAGTGCCAGTGATTGTCTCCAATTTTAACTATTTCTACCACAGAGAAACTGAGAACGAAGAGCACACGCAGATGATGCAAAATGCGGTCAGTTGCCCTTACCTCCCAACAAATTTACTGAAGAAATTTAGGAGCGCATCATCTTCATCCACAGAGGATAAATCAGAGTATTTGGAGATGGAAGAAGGAGTTAAAGAATCTCTTTGTGTAAAGGAGACTAAAAGTCAGGACACGGGGAATAGCAGTGAGTCAGAGAAGAAAAACTGTGTAAATTCAAATTCTGTGGAAACTGATGTGTAGTTTTGAGCGTTTCCAAATATATTTATGCATTAAAGAGTGCAGTGAAAATAATGAAATATGCAAACAAGAGTCTGCAGCATACAGTAGTATGCCATTTAATGGTTAAACACAATTAAAAAGCATTGCTGAACATGTATTACATATCAACTAAGTGGTACAACTTGAGGAAAGGATTGCTAGATATGATAAATTTTCAGACTTTATATTTTTATTAGAATGCAAGTGTTTTGCACATGAGGCTGAAAAATTTATTAAAACCAAGTCAGTTTTAAAGTGGGTGCATGAACTGTCGACATCACTAATAACAGCTCTGTGGTAAAAGTTGGCATTCAGAGGTATTTACTATGTAAGAAACAATGAAGTTTGGTAGTCATTTATCTATTTATCAGTGCTTTAATAGCAGCTACCATAAATCATTGGATACCATAGTCATTGTTTTTCAAACAGTAAATTTATTGTAAAACGATATTCTACAGAAGATAGATCTAATTTTTTTTTCTTGAAATCTATAATGCTTGTTTTTAACTGGAAATTTACTTTGAAAAGGCTGTTGACCCTCCAGAAATTGTTTATTTTTATAACTCTCTTTGGAGGCATTGCAGCATTTGTTGTCTAATAGTGAAAGAAATGAAGTAAGAGAATTGTTAAACCTGGTCTGACTGCAAAGGCAAAATGACTGGAATGCTTTTTTGCACTACTTTATATGCTGGAGATATATTGAAAGAGACTTCATACTGTGAATGTTTACTAATGTAATAGTTCAATGACAATCATTGGGAGAGTGAATTCTGCATCATATTTTATTGTTTCTTCTTTCTCTGTGATGCTGATGGCAAAACAGCTGACATGACATCAATTCCATACTCTTTTTAATTATGAATATCTGTGATCTGGAAAAGGATTGTGAAGTAAAATTTTCTAATCAAAATTATTTGAAATCGGTGTTTTCTACTGATGCCCTCAAGAAATACCAACCTAATTTATAGATATATTTTTTTTTTCTGCTTCATTTAGCATTCAGAGTCTATGATTAATACATGCACTTTGTCAGTATTGAGGAAATTTGGTGTATGGGAGGAGAAGGTAGAAGTAATAAGACACTCAGTTGTTACACTGCTGACAATTGAGGATTGCTGACTTTTAATAATGTGCTATTATTGGTGCTGCATTTCCCCTTGATTACAGCTTTGAAGCAACATTTAATATCTAAATCAGGCATTTTAGGCTTCAAAATGAACCATGGAGTCCTTGTGAGAGCATTCCATGGTTTCTCTTCACTGATTTTTAGGCCAGTTATGTTTTGCTGTGTGTCAAAACCTCCCACTGCCCTTCCTAGGAGGTTCAGGTAGGTAAAGATTAGCTGGCCTGCAGTATATTCCAGAGTCCAGAATGAGATAGGTCAGATATTACTGCATACAACATAAATAATAGATTCAGAAAAAGATTTTTTTCAGGCTTACCATTACGGAGGGAAGGCACAATTAATCTGTCACTGTTTTTGAAGAGGCACTGCAGAACATTCCAGATTATAAAACTTGAACCAAATTGGCATATGCACTTTAAGTTCTGGGACAGGCTGTTATAGAAGGAAAAAGGACTTACCAACACCACAGAATTACAGAAGTTTGCAATGTTCATTTAAAGCTGAGTGGAGGGGTTTTTTGCAGGGGGAGAACTTGTTAGTGACTGTCTTACAGCAACAACAGAAGCACTCTGAATTGGGTATCCATGATATTACACATGACAAGCCTTGTTTGCTGAATCCAGTGGCACCAAACAGAGCTGCAGACACAGGCTTCTCTTTAATGGTTGGGTTTTGCCTTCATAGTTTTTCTGTGAGTCTCTTCGAAAAGTTTCTCTGCTTGTCTTCTTTTGCATTGCAGAAAAATAAAAAAAAGACAACACACAAAAGACTGCGTTGTGCTGAGCCCTGCTTCAAAATGTGTTTAAGTGTCTGATTCCTAATTTAAAAACACTGAGCAGGCTTCACTATATTTTTGATGTGAAGCATTAAAAAGAGCTCCTTTTTATTGTGATGGTGTCAATTCCAACTGCGCTTTGAATGAAGTGACTCAGTAATTTTATACATAGGCCTTTGCCAAAATTTAATGTTACATTTCACTCCAGCTCACCCCAGTTAAACGTGCTAAATGCTTTTTTCTACAGGGGCAATATCAGCAGTGAGGATGAGTGTTCTATAAAACCCAGGAAAAACCTGTAACTGGAAGTATTTCTTTCACAGATAGCAGTTAATGGCCTAAAGGGCACGAGGGTTCTCTTGCTGAATGTCTTGGTACCAATTCTGTCTGAAACCAGAGACCATTTAGTGCCTGGGACCATGGCAACGAGCTAGGAGTGAAAGAAACACTGACCAGGTAAATAAAGAACTTAGAGAAAATAAGTAGTACGTGTTTGCAGTATTGAGTGGTTGAAAGGGAAGGTGGTTCGTAAGAGGTGGGATTTCAGACCTCTAATGGAAAGGAGAAAACTCTTTGAACCACTTTGAAAATGCATTCGTGCTGTAGCCACGGAGCTCAGCATGAGGGGAGCGCTTTGTTAAACAGCTGAGACCAGATGCTGACAAACTCCTGTTCAGGGGTGCAAGAAGATGCAGTTTGTTACATCATCAATTTCATTTGCAGTTCTGTTCTTCATTACAGTCTCTGCTGGTTTTGTCTTCTGTAGGTAATACAGAAGAATAGTGATCGCTATTAATATCAAACTGGTTTTTGCTCTGTTTCCTTTATACATGAATGTTAAAAAAAAAAAAAAAAGTTGCCTTAACTTCTTCAAAGACTCAGCTGTTGATTTAAACAAGCATGCAGTGTCCATGTTTCCAGAGCAGTACCTTGCTCTCAGAAGGAGAAGGTCTGACTGTAGGGGCTCCTAGCAGTTGCCAGAGCAAAATTCTGAGTGTATGCTCAGGTAATGCTGGAGCCTCCTGCAGTGTATAAACACTTGGTCATGATAAATAAGAGCTATGGAGCCCAGTGCTAGGTTGTGCTGTCAGCATTCTGAATCACAGAACTGTGCATTGCAGAGTGGAGGCAGATAGCTCTACTTGGGTTTATAATTTGATTATTCGGCTATCTTTTGGTCCAGTCACAATATAGTTCTATCAAGCCAAAGTCCTACCCCTAACATGCTAAAACCCAAAGCTCCCAAGTGCTTTAAGAAACAGAAATTTGTGTTAAGTATTACTTTGGTTGACATTGTGTGCCAGAGAAACCCTCTAATTGAGCTGTTATGGCTCCAAATTGCCACTCCTGCTTCTGTCAGACCTTTCCCAGTGATACTGACAACTCTCAGAAAAATGATTTTATTGTGACTTGGGCATCTTACATTTTTAAATTATAGTGGTGAAATGCATTCCTGATGTAGCTGATGTGAATGGATTTACACTGGGGATCATTTTAGTTCTACTAATGTAGTTCAAATGATTTCACATTGACATACATTTCAGCTAAAAATAATGCAAAATGAGATATTTCAGGTTCGCTTGCAGTGGTGAAAAAATTTGGAGGAGTTCCATTAGAATTCATGGAAACACAGCAGCACCAAATCTGATTTCAAATATAGTCTGATAGTTAACAGTGTGCTGGCATTTATTTAAAGAATTTCCTAGGCATTTTTATAGTAAGCTTAAGTGCCAAGGCCAGACTCACGAGGAGAGAGTTTTGCCAGCTGAAGGGTTGGATTTAATGGCTGACTTCAGAGATCCATAATTTTTTTTCTTTATTATATTTTTGATGTTACATTGATTCTTTGAAAACATCAGCTTGGATGCTGAGCTGTGTACCAGAAGAGGTGTTGTGTAACCCAGTCAGAGTGAAGGATTTTAGTGTTCAGCTAAGATTTCTGGAGTGATTTCACAAGGGGCAAATTCCATTTGATGGAAAATACAATTTGTTTGTATTTGAAGGAAAATTATTCTGCTTACACAGGTTTTCATGTGTAGAGTCCAACTCTGTGGTGTTCATGTAATGCAGAATAAATCTGGGAGATCCAGGGGGTAAAAATCCCCAGTGTGATTATGATTACATCTAGTTCATGACAATACTGTCCATGGTGTATGGAGATACTGACAGGCATCCTTGTGGTCACAAAAATTGGGATTTGAGCGCGTTTTCAGCCCGTAAAGCTTTGGAATGTGAAAATGGTTTTCATAACACTGGTATGGAAAGAGTTTGGGATCAGGCCATAACCTTGAAGAAAGGGTGTTAGAGTGTAACTCCTGACATGGAACATTCCTGTCAAGTTTGCTGTCAGGTGTTGAGAGTCATTTGACTCGGGATTTGAAAATTCAGTGCTGAGCTGCCCAAGAACAGGAGGTACTTCATATTTGCATAAGTGTAGGATAAATGTGCTATGGAAAACCAGTTAAATATCAGAAAGTCTATTCCATTTGTAGCTAGTTCCTGAAAAGTCTTTCTTGCACAGCATTGAAAAATGAAATGTGTCTTTCTGGCCATCCTGGACGCATAAAACAAATTCTAAATACCAATTAATTTTTAGCATACTTTTAAACTTATAGATAATCCTCAAATTAAATATATCCATTGTGTTTTTGGCTTCTTCTACTTTTTACTGGTTCTTTATTACTTTTTACTGTCATTGCACCCAGTTATAAATACTTTAAATGTATTAAATATATTAAAATTTATTTAAATTTATTAAATAAAAAGTATTTTAAATTTTTTAATTAATTGACACGAGACAGTAAGAAGTAAAAACAATATTAAAATCTCCCCAAATATAGCATCCAGCATGTAAGTTACATATTTTTCTTATCATTAAATAATCTAAATAACAATAACTTCAGTAGACATGGGACATGGTATACACTTTCCTCTTGCTATAAGTGAATGATCAAATGCTTCAGATTTTGCAGTGAATAAGATCTAGTTGACAGATTTATCATATTTTTGCACCTCCATTTGAAACAAATACTTAGAGAAAAATAGGCACTTTTGTAAAAATGAACATTTTTAATTTCCACAGGGGCCATCTGACGTGGACAGAGTGATTGGCAGATTAATTCTGGGTTCAAGTGCATAAATGTTTTGTACCTGAAGCCCAGGTACTCCACAGATCCCTGCCATGCTTCCTGCGTGTTCAGAATTCCGAGGACATTAATTCTGAAAGAAAAATCATTAAAGCCTTATGTACTGAGATGATTGAATTAATTCTTATTTTTAATCCTTTTCTTTACAATTATAATATGCCTTGAGCCCTTTTTCTGCAACAGACCCTTTGGAAAATAAATACATAAGTATATAAGAAGGCAAGAAGAGAAAGCTTACATCACATGTGAAAAGCTCATAAAACACACTAATTGAGGGAAAGTAAGTAAAAACTTCTTTTATTTCCTCCATTTGTGCATTTATGGTGTTGCCAGTAAAACCAAGCTGGGGGCACGCTGGGTGAACTGGTCTGCAGCTCCAGGGAGGTGCTCCATGCCCTGTTTCTCTTCCCTGGTCTCAGCTCTGCTGGGGCATGGTGTGCCTGGGAAGATGCTCCCTGTGCTGGGCAGCAGCACCTGGGGTGCCACAGGCTCCTGGAGGTGTTTAGCCTGTCTGGCAAATCCATGGGGGGAAATGATGCCTCAGGTTTAGCTTTTCTATTTCTCACATTCTGTGCTGCTTTAGTGTGTGGGTCTGGGCTCC